GGAGGTGGGCACAGAAGGCCACCCACATCTTCAGCATGCATGCAGCATTAACAGCAAACATAATACAGTCCACATTTATACCCCCACGTAAACAGGCATCAGTAGGATTCATGCCACTGGGCCCTCAAATGCTCATCAGAGCTAGAGGACAAGCCATGGGAGGGATCACTGCAAGCAAAGTTGAAAGCATTCTCTAATTTATTAAAAATGAAAGCCTGGCTCAGCTGTCACTACGAGACTAGTGTCAATCATTCAAGGAAACTTTAAGAAAGACTCACCAAGAAAAGAGATGGGGATAAGATTCTTATGACTCAGTACTGAGTAATTTTAAATCATGATTAACTGTGACGGTCACTACTGTAAAGGTAGAAGTTTCGTAACAAAAAATGGGGGGAGTAGTTAATCTTACCTTCCAGGAACAGAGGACCCTAGGACCACCAAGGGAGAAGAGCACAAGTGGAATGCAGGACCCTATCCAGAGAAGCAGCAACACCAGAGATGGTGGCAGAGATGAGGACATGGAGAGATAGAGCAGCTGAGGACTCTAGACTTAGGGAAAGAGAGGGACTGAGTTCTGGTGGCCAGGAGGTAGGCTTGCAGAATGTGCCCTTTGGTTGTTTAAATTATTATATATGCCTGAGTGTTTCTGTACATCATCTGCCCCCCCCCCCAAAAAAAAATAGAGGGAATAGAAGCAAATACTGTTGAATGATGATGCATGGAGGCTGTAATCATTGCAATGAAATGATGAGCGTAAAACTGATGTTCTCCAGTGTAAACTACCATTCAATTCACAATAAAAACTTAAAAAAAAAGGTTACTAACAAGGTGGAAAGTGAATCAAAGTCACGATTATAAAGACATTGGAATAAATCAATTCTTTTCAGCCTCAAAATGACAAGAAGTACAAACAAAACTCTGAGGGAATTTGATCAGAGTGTTAGCAATCATGAATGGTGTAGGAGTGGTAAATATGAATTTGCTCCCTAATTCCACAACACTGGGAACACAGGACTACAACATAAAGTTCCCAAGATGTATAGAAAAGACAGGCATAAAAACAGTTCAGTCAATAAATGGAACGAAGACTTCAGGAGACCTCAGAAGAGTTCACCGACCAATGATAGGTGATTGAGGGCACGAGTGGAATCTGCGCGGACATGAAACATAAGCCATTCACGTTATAGCTATGTTTTCTCCTATTGAACACCGGTGTTTGGTTTTAGGCACAGCTTGATAAAAATGTAAAAGTAAACTATCTCTAAATTATCTCGGAATATTATTTTAGCACCAAGGTAGATTTTACCGTGGGAAATGATTATGTATGGCAGCATTTTAGTGGTTTGTGTCAAGTTTCCTACAGGCCCTGGGCTGGGGAATTCGGTTAAAAGGTGTAACAGGCTGATCCTGATGCTGGTACCAGTTCTTGGATCTGCTAAGTTATGCCATCCTGAACAGGCCACTTTATGACTCCACCCTTCACAGCTGGACCAGAGTACACCTCCCAGGTGGCCCCTACCATTCCTACACTTCCATGGCTTCGTGTGGCACACTGAGAAGAAAACACATACAATTAAGTTCCTTTCTTAGTTTTCTAACACAGTATAACTGAATACTTGATTTTGTCATTAATATTTGACTTTAACTATCTTGGGTTTTCAGAAGTCTTAATGACCTCTCTAGACAATCTCCGTGGCGGTCGAGCCATGAAGTCCTGGTGTGGTGGTACAGGATGAGCACTGGACTTCTAACCATAAGGCCAGGGGTGCAAACCACTCCTTGGAAACCCTATACAGGGTCAATATGTGTTGGAACCGACTTGATGGCACTTAATAACAACACAAATTTTTGCATGTAGTACTTGGATACTTGATTTTGTCACTGATGCTTGTCACTGGTACTTGACTTTGAATATATTTCTTGTGCTAGACAATATCCCAGGAGGTTCAGTCATCAGTGGGCACGTGCCATCACAGTTCCGGATATCGGAGGTACTGCCTCCTCCCACGCTTTTGTCTCCCTACTCTCTGGACTACCTGGAGCACTAGAACATGCCTTCACTAGTCAACTGTTCTTCAAGCCAATCTCAACCCACACCTCTTCCAGGCAGTCTTCTTTTAACTCCATGTGGCCACCTCTAAGGGGCCCTGGTAGCATAGAGGGCTTGGCATTAGGCTGCTAATTGCGAGGCTAGCAGTTAGAACCCACCAGCTGCTCCGTGGGACAAAGATGAGGCTTTCTGCTCAGTAAAGATTTATAGCCTCGGAAACCTTATGCAGGGTCATTATGAGTTGGAACTGACTTGACGATACATGCAGCAGCAGCAGCAGCAAAGCCCATCTCTGAGTTCTACACATAGTTGTTAAGTGCCGTGGAGTTGATTCCAACTTATTAGCAACTCTGTATTGGGTTTCCAAGGAGCGTTCGGTGGGTTTGAACCACTTACCTTGTAGTTAGCAATCCAGTGCGATGAACACTTTTTGAATGACTCATTTCACTTTCTAAATAAAGTCACTATTCTCTCTGAAGCCACATTCATTTAGGTGACAGACCAAAATAATTAACAAAATCCAGTGGGGCCTTGATTCTATCCTGTATGTGATTCTTAACTGAAAGGTAACAAATCTAAATGATGTGTGTGTGTGTGTGTGTGTGTGTGTGTGTATCTACATACTGCCAAAGAGACAATCTGCTAGATTTTGCCTTGGCAGGGTGTCCTGGCATTATTTAGATGGTGTGTTACTCTGTGGAAGGCAGGGCCCACTTCCATCTGGCATCTCTCTGGGCACTAAAATCAGAAATGTTAAATTGCAGTTAAAAGTTTTTTTTTTTAAAAAAACAGAGAATCACCTGACTAGACACCAGTGCCTTCTCTACCAGAGAAAGTACGGCATTAGCTTCTGAGCCACCAACCTCCCACCTGGCAAAAATCTGACACCTTTCACAAGGCATCTTTGGAGAGCCATGTTGTCTTGCTCAGGAACTCTAGCTATTGACCCTGCCCCTGTACTGCTCCCCTCTCTTACCATGAGAACCCACCAGCATAGGCATTTATTACAAGAGTGTCAGCACCATGCCAATGATACAGGTTCCTCCCATTCTGCACCAGAACTCCTCACAAGAAGCCCACTTCCAGACAATTACAATACCACAACCATTCCCACGCAGAATGACAAATGCAGGACACTGCATTCCTTAAGAAGCTTCAACATCATCAAAATGAGAACGTGACCTGGCCACCTGTGTTTAATGCACTTGAACTTTAATAAAAGTCTGTCAGCTGGAGGAGGCTGGTCACAGCTCCAGATGAGACTTGCCATCTCATGACAGACACCAGCGGGGACCAGGCAGTTTCTGACCCCCACAAAAATCACCAAGTTACATACACGAAGACACCATCGCAAGGAGCAGCTGGGGGAAAAGAAATCAGAAGCTGAGCATTTACACCAAACAGACTCAGTTATCCTAAAGAGTCCATTCCCTGATGATAGACTTGGGTCAGAAACACTCATCCAAGTCCCCGGACAGAAAGGTATACAATGGTTAGGGCACTTAATAAACACAGGGTAGTTGCATATTGAAGCCCTGGTGTGCCGCTGTACGATACGCACTGGACTGCTAATCACAAGGTCGGCAGTTCAAACCCACTAGCCAATCTCAGAAGCCTCATACAGGGTAGCTATGAGACGGCGTCAAATGAGTGGCACACAACAGCAGTTGCATTTTAAATTAATGTTTACACTACTGTTCGCATTTCAATAAACTTGAAATTTACTAAGCGAGTACAAGGAGCCTTGGTAGTAGCACAGTGGTTAAGCACTCAGATTGTAACTAAAAGTTCAGTGGTTTGAACCCACAAACTGCTCCATGGAAGAAAGACCTGGCAACCTACCCCCTGAAAAGGTTACAGCCACAAAAATCCTAAGGGACAGCTGCACTCTGCCACATGGGGCTGCAGTGAATCAGAACTGACTCGATGACATACAACAACGTGTAAGAAGAAAAGACTTTTTTTTTTCTTCTAATAGAGCCCTGGAGTCCTGGTGTGGTGCTGTGAGTTAACACGCCAGACTGTAAAGCCAGTTGAACTGCAAAGTTGGCGGTTCAAGCTCACCAGCTGCTCCTTGGAAACCGTATACAGGGTCACTATGGGTCAGAACTGACTCGATGGCACTTAACAACAACAACAACAATGGAGCCCTAGGATTACAAACTGGGATTACAAGTGGATTACCAGCTGGGCTGTTAACTGCAAGGTGAGTAGTTTGAATCTACCAGTTGCTCCATGAGGAAAAGATGAGGCTTTCTGCTCCTGTTTAGATTTACAGCTTCAGAAACCCTACAAAGGGTCATGATGAGTCGGAATGGACTCGATGGCACACAACCACCACTACCACCTTGAATACAATACTACAGTGGTTTAGGAGCCTGGACAATGAAACAAAACGAGGTTCCAGAATCTGCCTCCTGCACCCATTAGCAATGTGACTTGGGGCCGGTTGCTCTCGGTCTCAGGCCTTTGGTTTCCTCGTCTATTCAGTGAGGAGTAGGGTTAGTGCTTCCCTTACCGGGTGGTTAGGAAGCTAAAATAGTTTATGGTTTACAAGAGTTCTTAGGCAGTGCAGGATGTGAGGATGGGGCAGGACCAGGGATTGTTTGGTTCTCTCGTGCACAGGGTCGCTATGAGTCGGAATCAACTCAACAGCAGCTAACAACAGCAAAAAGGTGGTGCAAACAGTTAAAGGCTCAAAAACTCCCTGAAAGGCTGATGGTTTGAAGCCATCTAGAAGCACTTTGGAATCTAGAATCTGCTTCCAAAAGGTCATAGCCTTGAACATCCTCCGGAGCACAATACTACTCCGCACACGGAGTTGCATGAGTTGGAACCCACTTGAAGACCGCATTAGCGCAGGGCTTCATAACCGTCAGCTGCCTAACACGGCGAGGGAACCTGGCCTACAGACTGCCGTACAAACCTTGATGTGACTGAAGTAACGTACCTTAACTTTGGAGTTCTCGATCAAATGCTGAGCCATGGATTTTATTAAAACATCAAAGAAAAACCACGAATACTGAAAGGAAGAGAAAAAAAATAAAAGGATTCCAGTCAGACAAACAACACAGTAAGAAAGTGAGCAGTGTATTCTTAAAGGCTGCTCTGTCTGTGGAGGCTCAATTGTCTTTTTATCACACTAACTCTCCCAACATACCTTAAGGAGTTTGTTGCTGGTGAGGAAATCGGCAGAAGGCTTGAGAATCGTGGTCATGGATTTGGTCAGCTCTTCGTGCACTGTCTTATACTCAGAGGCGACATACGGCTCAGCTTTGTATGCATACTTTAAAGAAAAGGAAAGACACTTTTAGGCGATAATGCTCACAACTGAGCTGAAAGTCTGAGAAGCTCCAAAGATCGGGGTTCAGGGATAGAGTACCATTTCCATGGATGGGAGAGGGAGGTGCGGAAACAGAAGGCAGAAAGAGGGAAACCCATGACATCATCATGGGACCCATCAAACTACGTGAATCACCTGACTCAGAGCAATGGTCGTCCCACCCAATATCTTCATCTCTACTAAAGACTCCAAGGAATGAGACATAGCACACTCAGATACGGAGACCTTGAAGAATCTCAAATTTTAAAAGTATGTGAATCTTATTAGAACGTGTATGACTTTTTAGAAGAGTCGGCGCCACCCCATTTATTGAATGTTTCATATAAAAAAGAACATATTGATATTTAGCCTAATGGGTTTCTTACTGTTCAAACTTACTCATCTAAGGTGATTATGGCCACCACTAAGCTTGCTGTTTTGGTACAAGCAGTTTTACTAGGAATTTTAGATGCGGAAAACACAGGGAGGTATATCAGTGAACTACCCAAGAGCAACGTAAAGTTCCTCATTCACGTTCAATGAGACTGTTACTGTTACTAAGTACCATCTAGCCAATTTCAATCAATAGCAACCTTGTATAGGGTTTCCAAGGAGCAGCTGGTGGGTTTGAACTGCTGACCTTGTGATTCACAGTCCAGTGCTGATCCTACAGCGCCACACCAGAAGTCCTTGTGATTAGGATCACGCTATTTGTAAAACCCATGAAAAGAGACAGAGTTGAAAGAACGAAGTTAAATAAATGATTGACTGCCTGCCCCTCTTCAGACTTTGGCTTGTTTGGTTCCACACACGTGCTGGTTATGAAGTATAGAAGAAAAGACAAAGGCATTACGTTTTCAAGTACACTCCCAAATAACTAGACTTTTCAAACATACCAGTCATTCAAAGGAAATTCAGAAAGCCACAGATTCCAACGATCAGGACAGTTGATTTGACATACCTTAACATATGACCTCAAGTGGCTCTCCAATCCTTCCTCATGGCACTGGGCAACCACGTGAATAATGACCCTACAACCCACAGGAATGAATAAAGCCATGAATACTAATGCAGAAATGGAGACATCTCATTATCATCACAGTAGAAGCGGAACAATGAGGATGCTATATAACAATGACGATGCAAGGCACCACAGAAGACAACAACTTTGATGTGGTCCCTCTATAGAGGACCGAAGGGAATTTCCTAAAAGCATCTCAGGTATGTATGACTGAACTCCAGATATGCGCAGACTGAAAGAGAAGACCCAAATCCATCTACCCGCCTATCTTACCGCGTCACATTGACTGCAACTTCCTCCTGGGTGGCTCGGGTGAGGACTCGGAATAGCTGGTTCAGGATGGTGGGCAAGAAGGCAATCATCACGTGGCCTTCCATCGCATGGAGACTCTAAAGACACGGAAGGCAAGCTCCGGTTATCTTTATCAAGCACACCCCGCCTACAAAGCCATCTTCATTCAGTTTCAAATAACGATGAAAAAACTCCATCTAAGGAGCTCTGGTAGCGTAGTGGTTACAAATCGGGCTGTAAACCGCAAGGTCAGCAGTTCGAAACTACCAGCTGCTCCGCGGGAGAAAGATGAGGCTTTCTACTCCCGTAAAGATTTACACCCTCGGAAACCCTGTACAGGGTCGCTATGAGTCGGTTCCGACTCCACGGCACATAACAACAACAACAACAACAAGATGAATGAAAAGCTATGATATAGGCAGAATATGCACCCCACCCCTAAAAAAAATAAATAAAGATGTCCTTGTCCTTATCTCCCAAACCTGTGAATTTGAGATAAATAAACCAAAGGGAATTAAGGTTGCTAATTGTTGTTGCTGTTGTTAAGTATCATTGAGTTGGTTCTGACTCCTAGCGATGCTGTACAGGGTTTCTGAGGAGTAGTTGGTGGGTTTGAACCACTGACGTTGGGGTCAGCAATTCAGTGTGTATCTTCCAAGGCCACACCAGGAATTAGCTGACCTTAAAATGAGGCGAGAATCTTTACTCACACTGCCACCACCATCAGTGCCATGCAAGCCAGTCTGACTCAAGGCCACCCCATCTTTGTCAGTCAATCTGAGCAACAGAGGGTTTTTGGTGGATGATTTTTGGAGGTAGATTGCTAGGTCTCTTCTCCCAACACACCTTTGGGTGGACTCAAACCATCTGCCAAAGCTTTAATCATTTGTACCACCCAGGGGCTTAGTCATAATCGTTCTGAAAATGGAAATAAGGAGGCAGAAGTCAAAGGGAGAAGTGATTTAAAAATGGTCAGAGATGCTGGAAGGACCTGTGATCCCAGAAATGCAGCGAGCTTTAGAAGGTGGAAGAGGGAAGGAAGTGGTCTGTCTCCTAGACCCTCCAGAAGGGAATATACCCCTTAAATTTTAGCTCTTACGTCCTCTGATCAATTAATTGTACTGTACAACAGTACATTTGCATTGTCCTAAGTCATCAAGTTTGTGGTCATTTGTTACAACAGGAAACAAATACAGTACAAACTCTCTTCTTAAAGTCATATACTGTCTGAGAGGAAGCTGAAAGGGGATCTGGCCAAGTAATACATGAAAATTCCCACTTCATTTTCCTTCTTAATGCAAACAAGCCTCAATCCCATTTCTCAAATTGTTATGTCCCAGTGACTGAAATGTCCTCTTCCAAAATGTTCCCTGGAATCCTACTGTGTAACTTGACTTCCTGCTACATGACTCTGGGAACCTTCCAAATCTCTGTATACACCTAGTACTGGTCATATGTATCGTTTTCGTGTTTCACTGATCCATGTAGCATGCTTTCAGCAAGTTAATATTCACTCCTATGATGAACCAGAAGTTCCTAAGAGTGGGTACGATAGTCCCCACTGTGTATGCAGCTGCTTCTAGGCTCTGTGTTCTCTGTAGGAGAGCACTAGAAAGGAGGGCCTCCGTGAAATGAATGGTTTTGTTTGCATGGAAAAGAACATGCTCAGAAGTCTAGTCTGATGAAAGCTGGAGGACAGTGTTGTGTTGTTATGCTGCAGAGTCAATTCTGATCCATAGTGACCCTGTATAGGGTTTCCGAGGAGCAGCTGGTGAGCTTGAACCGCCGACCTTGCAATTCAAATGGCTTTGCAGTCCGGTGCGTTAACCCACAGCACCACGCCAGGACTCCACTGGGCAGTAGGCTAAGTGAAATTCATTGGTCCCACAGGGACAGATATTGTATGAGGCCACTACTGTAAAAAGTCAAGGAAAGGCTTTCATTCTCTCATCAACATTCTAAGGAGCTCTGGTAGTGTAGTGTTTATGAATCGGGCTGTGAACCGGAAGGTCAGCAGTTCGAAACTACCAGCTGCCCCATGGGAGAAAGATGAGGCTTTCTGCTCCCATAAAGATTTACAGCCTTGGAAATCCTGTTCAAGGTCACTATGGGTCAGAACCGACTCGACGGCATATAACAACAACAACAATCAACATTCTGTGATGGTTACCAGGGGTGGGAGACATGGGAGACGGATTCCCTGGTGAGATGTAGACATGAGTTAAGTTAAAAGACAGGGAAGGCAGTTAAACAGAAAAAGTAAAGGGGAGAAGAAAAGAAGAGGGAAAGGCAATTATTATTATTATTTTACAGTCCAGTCTGAGAAAAATACGCACGAAGATGGAATGAACGCAAGCAAGAGCAACAGTATTTCTAAATCCAGGAGAAGCTAATTTATGCCTCACTTCGAGGTTAGCGTATCCTCAGAGAGGTTCCCAAGGGCTAAAAGTAATTCCTGCCCAAACAGAAAATCCAGACTACTTCAAACTCATTAAAAAGTTGTTACTTTTTCAGAGTATCCGTTCTAGCTCCTAGCTCAGTAACACCTGGGGTCTTAAAAGCTTGCCAACAAGTCACACAAGATACAACAATTAGTCTCCATTCTCCTGAAATGAAGGAAGGAGGAGGGGAACCAGGAACCAGAGAAGGAAATGGACTACAGGCCTAAATGTATCCATATGATCAGCTGACTGGTAGCCAGCTACCAGTACTGAACACTTAGATCAAGAAGCCAATAGAAGAATCCTGATCCAAAGGAGAGAAAATATGGAACAGAATTTCCAATGATCCTGGAATCTATGTTTGGGAAAGAATTTGTAAATCATGAACTGAAATTATTTCATGAAATCATTTTTAAACTAAAGAACAAGTTTTCCTCCATTGGTAAAGAATGTTTTCTTTGAGCACTGAGCTTATTTTAAAGAGTTAAGTTTATAAAGCTCAAGCTAACAGCAGTACCCCTACTGCAAAGATGAGAACTTTAAGGGACAGAGAATCCAAGTCAATGGTGGTGAGCAACGTGGATAGAGATCAAGAGAATGGTGATGTGAAGTGTGCAACCCCATCACGGCACTGCATGTGTCAACATGGCTGAATGAATGTTGTTTTGTAATATTTTCACCAAAAATAAGTTAAACATTAAAAAGTGTTTATAAAGAAAGCTATCACATACCTTAAGGTATTTCACAAGTTCATTTCCTAAGGCCTGGGCTCCAGATTCTGTTTTCTGACAGTACTGGAAAAAATTATGTAAATGCTGATCCTAAAGAAGAAAAGAAACCAAAACAAAACTGTATTAATATAAATGCTAAAGAAATAAAAGCATTTACTTCTTGTAGATGCAGATTTATGTTACATTATGAAACTGACCACACTGAAAAGGCAACACAAAAAAGTGGAAAATCCTCCAAAAAAAGAGGAAAACTTGAGAAATGTTACTTGTATTCAGTATTTACTGATAACATTAAATATGAATACTTCATGTTTAAGGCAAATCAAAAAGTATTGCTACCAAACCAAAGAACCCATCTTTACAGAAAACCATCCAGATGTGACGCTATTGCTTCTCAACATTTTCTCATCTAGGACTTTGTAGTTCTGAAGATGATGGCCTTTCCATCGCTTGAACCCTTTCTTAAAAACTGCTGCGCTTTTCAATTTACACCATGTCAAAATGGCAGCTTTGGCATCCTCAAGAGACTCAAAACTGTTATTTCCTTGGAAAGAGTCTTTGAGTTTGGGGAACAAAGAGAAGTCTGAAGAGGCAATATTAAGGCTGTAGGGTGAATTGAGTAAGGTTTTCCAATACAATTCTCATAGGACAACCCTTGCTATCCTTGACGAATTAGAAGGTGCATTGTTGTGATGAAAAACATTTTCTTAGGAAGAAGCAATTTTTCGGGCCTTTTTCTCATTAATGCAGTTTCACATTCTCTTCAAACTGATTACTAACAAGCCCTTGTGACCGTCCTGTGTCCTTTGAGAAAATGTATCAAGATTATCTCTTTGGGATTGCACAAAGCAGTCACCATAACCTTCTGAGTTGACCTCTATCTATGCCTTGAATTGAACTAGCCCTGCAGATTCCCTGGGAAGTCATGGTTTTGATTGAACTTTGTTTTTGACAGCTCCCTACTAAGACTAAAAGGAGCTCTGGTAGCATAGCGGTTACAAATCAGGCTGCTAACCTCAAGGTCAGCAGTTCGAAACTACCAGCTGTTCCGTGGAAGAAAGATGAGGCTTTCTGCTTCTGTAAAGATTTAAATCCTCAGAAACCCTGTTATAGGGTCACTATGAGTCGGAACTGACTCCATGGCACATAACCACCACCACACTAAGAGTAAGACAAGTGTATACCTGAGAGAACTTGTCTATAGTCACCCTCTGATCACAGAGGCATACTTACACATGCTGTGTTTGGAATAAACCTGTGTATAAGTGAACGAGAATCTTAGTAGCAATACCTTCTGACTTAATCTTGCATTTATTTTTAAAGAAAAAAAAAAGAAACTTTTAGAATAAAAACTTAAGAGTGCAAATCAAATTAAGAGTGTCTTCCAAAATAAGGTGCAAGGGTAGCCATTGAGAAATCACTGTTAACTGCTCCCGGTTAGCATGTACCTGAGTATACACTGTGGAAACCAGATGAGTCGAAACTTTCAATAGTGGCTTGCCTCCATCTACCCATTTAATTTCTGGACCATAATGCTGAAAAAAAAAAAAGAAAAGAAACATCATGATAGGGTAGCTCTCTTGGCTTCAGACATGATCCAGTCCAGTCATGAGTGGAAAGATGAGGTGTTGGAGGCCCCAAGAGATTCACTGACTTGATAGCTGTGCCTAGTCCACAGAAGAAATGTAACCAGCATTCACTTCTGCCCCCAACTACCATGCTCCTTCTACTGTAATTCCCGAGTTATCTTTTCTATTTAGTTGTAACTGTTTTGAGTTACGGTCCATTTGAGTAGTGTACCATCAGTGACTTAGCAAAACTTGAGGTCAGGATTCTGAAAGAGATGCCAGAAGGTACCAGATAAAGCAAGGAGGGCAGCACGTGTGTCTGACACAGAGAAGGCTCCCTCATCTATGATGATGTGAGCTTCGGAAACCTCTATGTTCACATGCTCAGACTAAGAATTATTTGGCACACTGTCCATAACATGGATCTAATTCTGACATTATTTAAATGCACAGAAACATTTTAAGGCTGTTCAAAACACAGTGAAGCTGGTCTTACTTAATGTTATAAAACAGAAGCCTGTAAAATTCAAGATGGCGGAGAGAATACTAAATTAACAAATCGATGGGAGAAATTGGAGTGAAATCAGGCTTTAATAAATCAGCATTTTATTATAATTGGCTACCATTTTTGCACGAATGGCTTTTCCTACCACACTTCTGATAAGCTAGAAGAAAATTCCTCACGGTTGACATGATCCTAAGAACTCAACTTTATCTGTGCATGGCATGGCTGTTTGCAGAGACAGACTTCTAATTCATGTAGTATCTCCAAGCCTTAACTTCTGTGCGAACACTACAAGTCAAACTACAAGAATTCTGAGATTGTGACCATTGCTAACAGCCTAAGCTCATTTGAAAGATGCTGACTAAACCCAAAATGTGGGGACAAGCAAAAATGCAGTGTGATTTTTGTGTGTGGGTGTGGTTATGGTCGTTGCTGTTTTTAGTTGTTCGGGAATATTTCTGAATGAATTCTTATAAAGTGATCTTAAAATCCATACCCTGCCCATCCCAATTTCCTGGTAGCCGAGGTAGCCCGACGGGAGAGTCACTGACACAGGGATGTACTGCTCGTTAGTTACCACCCGTCCGTCTTTTAGAAGAGGAAGCCAGGAGTATCCAACTGTTGAGAACAAACAGCAAAAATATCCATGAAATATTTTTACGTATGGAAGTAACCTGCCTCATCTTTAAGTACTGCTGATACCAATTAGAGAAAGACATTTAGAAGGCCTCTGCAGAATACGGCCTACAACGCTGCTTGCGCCCTCTTTGGAGTTAGAATTCTAAACTGATCTTTTATAAAACAGACATATGCAACTCAGGCACGGTCCCTTCACCCCTTAGCAAAAGGGGGTAAACAGCATGAAAGCAAATTCAGAACCTAATGTGAACATTATTATAAAAATTGAACGAAGACCAAGTGCCAAACCTTGTGTTTCGACAACATCTTTCTTTTTTGTGCTTCCTTTACTTGAATGATCACAACTGACATGGAAGAATGTGAACAACAAGTGGTGTTTTTCATGTAGCTGGGTGGGTAATTCTATTTTAATCTGCAAGAAAGAAAATAATAACAGTTATTCTACTATCTCAAAACAATTAACAAAAATTCTCGGCGAGAACAGCGACACAACGTGCCACTCAATGCACAAACACTCATTTGTTCTTCAGAAGGATGTTAGCATTTGCATTCTGTGCCATCCGAGACTGTAAATCAGGCCAAGAAAGAAACAGATCCTTGATTCACGGATGAGAAACAGGAGGAGGGTGGATGAGTATTTCAACTCTAAATGATATTAGAATGCAGAGAAACAGAAACCTCTACACTGATTTAACTCAGATAAGGCATTATTCAAAACTGGAAAAGGAGGTTCAGTAGAATTCATATAGCCGTTTTCAGGAACTGTATTATAATTTGCTAGAAGCCAAAACACTGGGTAAGAAGAGTCTCAGGACCAAGAAACATAACTACAGAGATAGTGTGCGCTCGGTTTTACAGCAATAAAGTGAACATTGCACGTGAATTTTTAGGTTCCCAGTTGCATATAAAAGTCGTATTTACAATGTAATCTACTGAGTGTGCAATAGTACTATGAAAAAGTTTGAGCTATTGTGAGAATTACCAAAACGCAATAAAAAGACATGAAATGAGCAAATGCTGTTGGAAAAATGGCACCGACAGACTTGCTCAATGCCAGATTGCCACCAACATAAGATCTGTAAAAAGCACAATACCGGCGTCATGCAGTAAAGTGAAGCACACTTGACCATGGCATGTCTGTACTCTTAAATATGAATTGGAAAGTAACTATTCCTGGTGTGGTGCTGTGGGATAAGCACTGGACTGCTAACCACAAGGTAGGTGGTTCAAACCTACCGGTCATCCCTCAGAAACCCTATGCAGGGTTACTATGGGTTGGAACAGATTGGATGGCACTTAACAACAATATGCCTGAATATATAAGGTTGTTGTAAAGAAGGTTATATTGGGGAGTATGACTTTTTTTCCCTATTATCTGCATTTCCCAAATTCTTTTTACAGCAAATACGCTACTTTCCTCATTAGAGAAACTCGTATACAATAAATAAGTCAATGTTTAGTTCTAGCACTGTCCTGTTCAGTATAGCATACTGAGGCACCTTTTAAATTTTGATCCAACAAGTAACTAGGTCATTCTTAAGTCTGGCTAAACTCGGTTTCTCAGTGAAAACATCACTTACCTCATCATAAAATTCTGGGTTTTGGTGATGGTGTAAAACCGCAGCCAATGCGCTTCTCACGAATACAGGCCCACCAGGTCTGCCGTAAATACACTGAAATAAGAGTAAAGGATATGGCTAGCAGTCAGTGAGGGAAAAAATGAGCCTCAAAGTGTAAGGAAGACGCAGTCCTACGGTAACAACCTACCTGAGTTACCACACAAGATTTGTTTCTGCCTGCAGAAGCTCCAGCCTGGCAAGCTCCCTACAACCGGATGTCACCCACCTTCAACAAACTCAGCTGCAAGTCAACGTCTCCCTCCCTAGCTGCCACTCTCCCAAAGGTTCTAGAGATGGACTACTTCCTGCTCACTTTAATCAGGCCATGGCAGCGTAGTGGTTATGAATCGGGCTGCTAACCTCCAGGTCAGCAGTTCGAAACTACCAGCTGCTCCATGGGAGAAAGATGAGGCTTTCTGCTCCCATAAAGATTTACAGCCTCGGAAACCCTGTGCAGGGTCACTATGAGTTGGAACCAACTCCACAGTACTTAACAACAACAACATGCCTTCGCTTAGGCAACTCCTCTGCTTAAATGACCTGCCTTCCACAAAACTCAGTAAACTCATTCAGTTGGGGAGACCCCACTGACCTTTTCTTGATGCCTCTAGGCCAGAGAGATTACTAACTCCCCTGAGTTCCCTCAGCAGTTTAGGCATATCCCTTCTATAATAATTACCCAGTTTTGTTCAAAACATAAAAGCATTTTAGTCGGTCTGTGTTGGCAGAGGATTCATTATTACATGTCATTTTCTCCAGGCCTGCCTTTTGCACTAAACTCCACATCCTAGAGAGCAGAGCAGTGCAGCTGGATCTTACTCTTTTTTGCATCTTTGTATACGTGTCTTCTTTGATATTCATTTTAACATAGTTATCAAAAAGAATGTGGCCTCTGGAACCAGACAGCATGGGTTTGAATCCTGGGTCGACTAAAAGTTAATACATTTGATTGTTGTTGTTGTTGTTAAGTGCCGTCGAGTCAATTCTGACCCATAGCAACCCTGTATAGGGTTTCCAAGGAGCAGCTGGTGAGCTTGAACCACCAACCCTGCAGTTCAAATGACTTTGTAGTCTGATGCATTAGCCCACAGCGCCACACCAGGACTAAATTGTTGAAATTCTATGTATTAGTTTTCTCTCCCAAAAATTGTGGCTAAGGATAATACCTAATATAAAAGACTAGTCTGCGAACTCAAGGAGTTGAATACACATAAAGCACTAAGAGAAGCATAAGGAAGTCACCCAGATTCTACTACCAGCATCATGATGGAGCCCTGGTTAAAGCCCTGGCCCTGTGGGTTAAAGCATTGGACCACAAGGTTCAAGCTCACCAGCTGCTCCTCAGATCCTCTATACAGGGTCGCTATGAGTCTGAGTTGACTCAACAGCACTGAACAAAGATAAAATCACTCTTATGGATCCCTGGTGTACAGCTGCAGGATCAACACCAGATTATGACTCACCTGTTTGCAGTTCAAACCCACCAGCTGCTCCACGGAAACTCTACACAAGGTTGCTATGAGTCGGAATCGACTCAGTGGCACGTCACAACAACAGCCATCATTATTATTGTAGTGTAATATATACTTAATACAGGCTATCTATTGTGAATGGAGTCCTGGTGTGGTGCTGTAGGATAAGCACTGGACTGCTAACCAAAAGGTTAGCGGTTCAAACCCACCAGTCACTTTCTAAGAAACCCTACACAGGGCCACTATGAGTTGGAACTGACTTGATAGCACTGAACACTGAGCTCTGAGCAGTGCAAATGGTTAACAGAACTGGCTGCTAACCAAAAGCTGGAGGTTCAAGTCCACCCAAAGGCATGTCAGAAGCCAGGTTTGCCTTTCTAGATCTAAAAAGCCCGCTATTGGAAACCCAATGGAGCACCGTGCTACTCCGACACAGATTGGGTCATGATGGGCTGGTGTCAATGCCACGGCAACTGGTTTGGCTTGGAACCCTTGGGTGGTGAACACGGATACTGTGCTCAGCTGCTAACCAAAAGGTTGGGAATTTGAGTCTACCCAGAGACGCTTCAGAAGAAAAGCCTGTCAATCTATGTGTAAAAATCAGCCATTGAAAACCCAATGGACACCAGAGAGGGCGCAGCTGAGGACTCTAGACTCATGGAAAGAGAAAGACTAAGAGCTGGCAGCCAGGAGGCAGGCTTGCAGCATAGGCACTTTGGTTGCTCAAATGATTATGTATTCCATAGTGTTTTTGTGTACAACCACTCCCCCTCTCCCCCCCAAAAAAACCCAACAACACAGAGGGACCCCTTTTGGTGTTTAAATTATTATATATTCCTGAGTGTTTTTGTGCACACCCCCTCCCCACAAAAAAAACAAAAAACAAAATAGAGGGAATAGAAGCAAATACTGTTGAACGATGATGCACGGAGGAGATTGTAATCATTGCAATGAAATGATGAGTGTAAAACCGATGTTCTCTCATGTAAACCATCACTCAGTTCACAATAAAAAAGTGAAACAATAACAAAAAAAACTCTATGGAGCATTAGTTCCACTCTGACATGGGGTCTTCATGAGTTGAAACTACTAGAAAACACTGGTCTACTGTTAATCTTTTATGATTACTATTATCAATGTTACTGCAATAATTGCTAAGTACTTTATATACTATAAATACAACAACAGAGCCATCTTGTCTCCAGACCACAAATCCTACACGGGGCCTGGCTGAGAGCAAGTGCCCAAGAAACATTAACTGAATTGAGTACAAATGAGAAAACGTCATCCACAATACAGAAATAGCCAGAGGAGCATGCACTTAAATTTCTTGATGTTCCGCAAGGTTCAGCACATGTGTTATAAGACGTGTAATGTTATCTGTATGTCCACCATCATTACTACTATAACACCGTCCACCATCATTACTACCATATAATGAAAATGTAATCAAAATTTTTAGGTAGCACAATATCCTTTTTTAAATGGAAAAATCAAAGTGTGCTTGTGAACATGCATTAAAAAAACAAACCTTGAGAGGCAGAGCATCTTCTTCATCTGAATCTTTGAATTCGATGCACACAGCAATATTTCTAGCCTGCAGCAAGATTTAAAAGGGAGGGGGAAAGAGATCCAAAACAAGAAGAATCTGTGAATACTTGTAAAAGAGTGTGAGAAGTCAAATCCAAGTAGAGAGTTTGATATCCAAAAATGAAACCCACTCTTTGCACTCACCTTGGCAAACGACTTCTGACTGTCATATTTCAAGTACTTAGGATACACATAAAGGTGGCTGTTGTAGATGGTGTAAGGCTGGGTGTGCTTTGGTATGCAAGGTACAAATTCCTCTACTTCAAATGTGATTGGAATCTTAGTGCAGGTTTCAAACTGCTTCATGGGAATGTATGATGAATTAACATAATCTGAAAAGATTTTCCAACAAACCAACTTGAAGTAAAAACCAACCCAACAAAATTTTGTCTGTTTATTACAGACAATTTACACTTACTGGGCAGGTCTGAGGAAACATTGTCAATGGTAATGTCGAGATTGCCCAAAATCACTGGGAGTTTAGCCATCTTCTCAGGTCTAAACACAAACAAAAAAGAGAAAGCCAGATATTTGTAAGTTAGGTTAGCTCTATAACCTGGCTCATAAAGCAGCACTCCCATAATGCAAATCACAAAGGTAATTTTCAATTTTCTAACGGCCATGCTACAAAAAAGGAAAATGAAATACACAAAATTAATTCTAAGAGTCCATTTTGTTTTACCCAATATTAATACACCCATGTTATTATTTCAGGGTGTCATCAGTAGAAAATTTTTAATTCTTAGTCTTTGAACTCAGATGGTATTTTATATTTAATATTTCACATCTTAAGATTTCAAGTGCTCTACAGCCACCTATGGCTAGTGACTACCGTGTTGGACAGCGTAAGTCTAATAATGAATATCAGCAAAATGGTTATCTAGCTAAATAAAGTAAGTATTCCTGCACCACTCCTTCCTTATCAGAAATTCTTGGCTCATTGGGAATCATCAAAACATAGACTTGGACGTCATCTTGGTTGATAGGGTCTAGCAAAATGCTGGGTACAAAGTACATGCTCAATGAATATTTGTTTTCTATTTGGTTTAACATCAATCCAACACAGGAATCTCTTCTCCAGCATTCCTGGTAAACACTGATGAGTGCCTTAGCCCTCACTGTTGTTGTTAAGTGAAGTCCACTGCATATCCTACAGTGGCACACCAGTGTCAAGGAAACTTTCAACAGCGCCATCTTGGCTCCAAACCACAATTCCTCATAGTAGGGTGGAATCCGCACTCCTGAAACTTCCACGCATCAATGGACCTCACCATTTCTTTATGTAACATCTTTCAGCCATCTTCAACACAATGATTACATCTTTCTGAAGTTCTCTCTTCTCACCTCTTTTGCATCTTCTTCTAAAGCTGCTTCTTTACTAGAAGAATGTCTCATTTATATCCTGGTACCCAGAACCCAACACCCATAGAAACAGCAATCAAAAAGACCTCTTTAAATGTGAGGACTAACATGTACCAGACACAATTCATGGTTTCTTCAATCACCTCATATGCGTGAGAAAGCTGTAGGAAGAATAAAGACCAGAAATAAAGAAAAAAGAATAAAGAAAAACTGATGCCTGAAGGATGGTGTTGACAAAGAACACGGGAAATACCGCAGATTGCCAGAACACACTAACAGAGATCTGTCTTAGAAGTATAAACAAAATGCTCATTAGATGTGGGGATGGCGAGACTCCATCTTCCGTGCTTTAGACATGTTGTTGAGAAGGTCCAGTTCCTGGAGAAGGACATTATGCTTAGTAAAGAAGAAGACCAGCGAAAGAGCAAAACACCCTCAAGGAGATGGGCTGACATAGTGACTTCAACAATGCCCTCGAACGTAGCAATGCTTCTAAGTGTGATGTACAGCCAGGGCAGTGTTTTGCTCTGTTGTACATGGGGATGCTATGAGTCAGTCAATATCTAACAACAAAAAAACACAGAACTGTAATGATTATGCCCAGAATGGTCTAACCAGCTTGGGAAAGGGGAGTTGTCTGGTTTTGAACAATATAGTCTTCTAACGTAGCTGGTATGCATTGCATCTCAATGTAAAGAAAACAAAAATCCTCACTACTAGACCAATCAACAACATTCTTATCAACGGAGAAAAGACTGAAGTTGTCAAGGACTTTGTTCTTCTTGAATCAACTATCAACACTCATGGAAGCAGCAGTCAAGAAATCAAACGACGTATTGCATTCGGCAAATCTTCTGCACAAGAACTTTTTAAAGTGTTGAAGAGCAAGGATGTCAGCTTGAGGACTAAGGTGTGCCTGACCCAAGACATGGTATTTTCAATCACCTCATATGCATGTGAAAGCTGGACAGTGAATAAGGAAGAACTGATGCTTTTGAGTTAAGGTGTTGGAGGAGAATATTGAAAGTGCCATGGGCTGCTAAAAGAACCAACAGATCTGTGTTGGAAGAAGTGCAGCCAGAGTGCTCCTTGGAGGCCAAGATGGCCAAACTTCATCTCTCATACTTCAGACATATTGTCAGGAGAGAGCAGTCACTGGAGAAGGGATCATGTTTGGTGAGGTGGAGGGTCAGAGAAAAAGAGGAAGACTCCCAGCAAGATGGATTGGCCAAGTAGAAGCATCAATGGACTTAGGCGTGGCAATAGTAGTGAGGTTGGCCCAGGATCGGGCACTCATCAATGTTTACCAGGAATGCTGGAGAAGAGATTCCTGTATTGGATTGACGTTAGACCAAATAAAAAACAAATATTCATTGAGCATGTACTTTGTACCCAGCATTCTTCCAACACAGATCTGTTTCGTTCTATTGTGCGTAAGGTCGCTATGGGTTGGTACCAACTCAATGGCACCTGACAACAACAACAATGCAGACAAAATACTATCAGTTTTGGGTAACCAACCCACTCCAGTGACCTTCATGGCTTATTACTAGAAAACAGAATGCTGCCTCATAGGTTTTAGTTAAGCCAGTAATTTCACAATTACTTTTAAGATGTTGCCAAGACCATCAAAAGTCAGTATCCTAGTAACACAGCCCACAAAGACAATGTTCTGCCTTCTATTTTTGTGAGTAGAGTGTGGAATCTTAAAAGCTTGTGAGTGGTCATCTAATGTAGAACTAACAGTCTCTGGAGGCAAGTAGAGTGATGAAAATTGAAGATACATGGAAACAATCCAATGGGCTGATGAATCAGGTGAACATTAATCTCTATGAACGTGATGCCAGAAGAACTAGATGGTGACTGGCTGCCTCTACCAACTACTCTAAAAGGGATCACATTAGAAGATCCTGGAGAGAGCAGGAGAAAATGTGGAATCAAACTTAAAATTTTTAAAAAGACCAGGCTCACTGGCTGGATAGAGACATGGGGAACACTGCAACTATGGCATTGTTCACCCTTCAGTTCTGGAACCGAACTAACTCCCATGGCTAGTTCTAGTGAAATACACACGCACAGGTTGGTCACCAAATTGAGATCAAAACAGCAGCATTAAGCCAAGGACAAAGATGAAAAGGGTTGGGAAAGATGGAGGAATAAAAACAAACACAGGGTAGAAGTAGATAAGTGATGTTACATTGAGGGGAATCCAATCAATGAGGTGAAACCAAGAGTCTGATTTGTTGAATGTACAACTGGAAACCGTGACCCAATTCACAAAAAGTAAAAAAAAAAAAAAAAAGAAAAATTTCACAAAAAAAGCAAATAGACAAAAGACGCAGTAGCCTATCGATTCACCATTTTTGAAAAGTTGCTGCCTCCAGTTTTGTAAGATTCTTCCGACATTATTATATTGATTTAACAGTCTCATATGTAACATTTCATCAAAACTTGGAATACTGTTAATCTAAGTCCGGGTTTCCCTAAAAATTCCAAATTCTTGTTGCTTTATGACTAGAGACTATTTTGAATCGAATCATTTTCCTATAGCAAACTCGAAGTTGCAGAATTACTTTCTCTCAAGAGTTCTCTTATTTCTATTTAAAATGGAGTTTAAGGTTGTGATTCCCATCATAAAAATTTCTGGGGAATTTTTTTCTCTCATCTAGTATTAAATGACATTTTGAGACAATAGTGGGAAAAGAAATAGTAGCTTTGGATTCAGTCTGTGTGGCCAGGCCATTAACATCACACTGTTGTTGTTAAGTGCTGTGTGAGTCAGTTCTTTGACTGGTGGGTTTGAACCATCAACCCTGAGGTAAGCAGCCCAGTGCTTATCCTACAGGGCCACACCAGGACTCCAACATCAGACTTGTTGTTGTTGTTAGGTGCCATTGAGTCTGTTCCAACTCATAGTAACCCTGCATAGGGTTTCCAAGGAGGAGCTGGTGGGTTTGAACCACCATTCTTGCAGTTAGCAGTCCAGTGCTTATCCTACAGAACCACACCAGGACTCCAACATCAGACCACTCCCTATAAAAATAAAAGAACAGATAAAGAGCAAAATTGATGTTAAAAAAAATAAACACTAGAAAAACAGGAACGGTCCTTTTGCCAGGCTCTATTAAGAACCTTGGAGTCCTGGTGTGGCGCTGTGGGTTAATGCGTCAGACCGCAAAGTCATTTGCACTGCCAGGTCGGTGGTTCATCAGCTGCTCCTTGGAAACCCTATACAGGGTCACTATGTGCTGGAATCGGCTCGACAGCACTTCACAACAACAACAATTAAGAATCCTTGGATTCTGACTGAGCTCGTTAAGCTCGTTCCCTCGCTGCTCGGTGTAGTCTGATGCTGCTAGTGTCTGATCTTCATTTTCAGGTTTCTGGGTCTTTAGCCATCTGGAGCACATGCTTCACACTAACTGCTTGTTAATGGGCACAGGCATGAAAGAGAGCTGGTGGGGAAGAAGCCGCACTGTGTTCTCAGCCAAAGAAGGTCTGTGCGCCTTGCTGGCTTGGAAATAACTTTGCATTCACATCACTATTTAATCATAATGATCCTGTAAACCCTACCCACCAGCTTCTATGGAAGAAGAACACTGTGCTAGGACTCCCCAAAGAGTCGCCAGTGAGGGGCGGGAGGAGGTGCCTCAGTCTCACTAGGTTAGGAGGTAACTTCTAAGTCAGGGCTTCCAACTTCCATCGCATTTAAAAACTTCATAGTCTGTTTATGATGAACACAATAGCAAATGCTAGTTAAAAAAAAGTGCATGTACAAATCAATGAAAACAATTAAGTAGAAAATGAAAAACACCTGTACGTCCATCCCTCAGAAGAGAGCCATGTATAACATCTTGGTGTATACAGGAGCCCTGGTAGCTCAGTGGTTTAGGCATTGGGCTGCTAACACAAAGGTCTGAGGTACAAACCCACCAATCGCTCTGAGGAAGAAAGATGAGCCAGTCTACTTACATAAAGATTTACAGCCTCAGAAACCCTATGGGGTAGTTAGTTCTACTTTGTCCTGTAGAATCCCTGAGTCAGAACCAACACGAGAGCAGGGAGTTTGGTGTGAGTCTAGCCTATATGCTTATTTTTCTGCCTGTTTGTCTCTTCATCTAGCTAACTTCTTGCCTTTCCAATTTTTCACTTACATACAAAGAAAAATACATTAACATGCTTCCTGTTTGCAAAGTAGGTCACATATATTTTTCTTCCTTAGTGATAGTATGTTCACCTTCCTAAGTACATGTAGACCTATATCATTATTAATATTTGCTTCATATTCTTGTGAGGGAAATCTTTTAATCCATTTAACCAAAGGGGACTGGTGGTGGTGGGGTTATGTGCCGTGGAGTCAGTTCTGACTCACAGGGCCGCTGCACAGGATTTCCGAGGCTGTAAATCTTCATGAGAGCAGAAAGCCTCATCTTTCTCCCATGGAACCACTGGTAGTTTCGAACTGCAGCTCTTGAGGTTAGCAGTCCGACTCGTAACCACTATGGGAATAGGTTTATTAAAAAGGTAATTTTTTATTCTATAAACATGATGGAAAGTTTCCTGGAGCTCAAAAGGAGGGGAAAAAAAAAAAAAGAATGGCAATCATTTAAATATAGTATCTATACGACCAAGCATCACCCAAGATCACAAAAAGAAGCATTTTAAGTGTTAAGTGTGACTATATTTATTATCTTGAAATTTAGGAACACTGTTACTGTCCAAAAGTATGGGAAATGTTAAACAATCCATGGGTCATCAACTCAATAAACTATGATGAAGTGCCGTGGAAGTCGGTTCTGACTCATAGCGACCCTGCATAGCTTTTCCGAGGCTGTGATTCTTTGTGGGAACAGAAAGTCTCATCTTTCTCCTGTAATGAACTATCATGGAGGCATTAAAAATTATGTACAAGTATGTGTAATACTTTCAAAAATTACTTATGCAGAAAAATATACAGCTATAGTAACTACAATAACATAAAACAAACTAAAACATACAGGAAATGCTCTCAAATATTCAAGATGGTCTTTATTAAGGGAAACCATTTTCTTTTCTTTTTTTGTCCTCAAAGTTTCTGTAATAAACATTCATTACTTTTTAAAGCATAAGAATTGGCATTTAAGAACTACAATGATAAATATTTCATTTAGTCTTTCAAGTACTTTAACAGCTTCTTATTGGGATCCAGGTGAACTTCCTTCTTTGCCAGAACACATGACAGTCAGACACGTGACTGGCAATTATGAACATCCTGCCTGATCCAGAACGCAGTGAGGCCAAAGCCAACAAGGCTCCATCCTATATCTTGCATCCTCATCTACCCCTGCTCTAATTATAGAAGCCCCCAGGTATCCAAGGACTCACCAAAAGTAACGAATCAGCTCTTTACCAATATAATAATAAAGGCAAATATATTAAAAATTTGAGGTAGACACAATTGTAATAACAAATGGGTGCTATTTTGCAACAAGCTTCACAACATTCTTATTATTACTGTGTTATTATGTTAAAGGAGCCCTGGTGTGGTGCCATAGGATACACGCTAGACTACTAACTCCTAGGTCAGCAGTTCAAACCCACCAGCCACTCCTCAGAAACCCTATACAGGGTCCCTATGGCACAGGATAGGTCAGTGTTTCATTCAGCTGTGCAAAAGGGTCACTATGAGTCGGTACTGACTCGATGGCACCTAACAACAACAACAAGTCGGAACCAACTCAATAACATTTACCAACAGCAACAATCTATTGATGATGTCTCATTATATTTGGAAGTGCTTAATTTTTTAATGCATAAAAAAGTATACTATGCATGAAGGGGCTTCAAAAAGTTTATGGAAAATTGGAATCAAAAGATGACATTTTTCCATGAACTTTTTGAAGCGCCCTTGAATTATATACTAAGACAAACATTTGTCTGATGTTAAATATAAATTGTACCTAACTGTTCTGAGTTACATACAAATTCAACTTGAAGACAGACAGGCACAGACATACATTAGTAATCCATGAACGGCTTGTATATAAGCGGGGGAAGGGATGATTTATTCACAATCCATCCAGTAAGTGTGGTTGTAGTTGTTGAGTGCTGTATAGGGTTTTCAAGGAGTGTCTGGTGAGCTTGGATCACCGACCTAGTGGTTCAAACTGACTTTGCAGTCCAGCACATTAACCCACAGCACCACACCAAGACCTCACTGTACAGGGAAGGAAATTAATTCAATGAAAGGAAAATTAGGGTTGTACTTCCTGTTAAGGTCTAAAATGATAAACACTTCATGAGAATGATAAAAACTTCATGAGAATCTTGAGACCCCTTCATTACTTTCATAAAGACCCACTAGGATCCAAATACATATTTTTTTGCTCTTTCCCCCTTTTAAACCTCTTGGTAAGGGGTTCCACATCATCATTAAAGCTGAAGATGCTTGTTGACATGGTCAAATTACAAGAAATGATTAGAAATATCTAAATTTTAGGATAAGTATTGGACTGCTAAACCCACCAGCTGCTCCCTGGGAGAAAGATGAGGTAATACCACCTGCTTCAGAGGCTTTTTCATTAATACAGGTGAAGCATTCAGAACAATGACTGAAAACAGCAAGGACTATGTATGTGACTACCTTCTCCCTTAGTCACCCATTCAGTTAATGGTACCCTGAGTCAATCCATCATGCCAATCAAAAACACCGGATCATATATCTTAGACTGCCACCCTCTTCTCTCACCTTCTGACCTCACAAGCAATTAGAACTCCGGGCCCGACAATTGTTTCTTTGCTAAGACTTGGACAGCCTGACTTCTTCCGATTTGCACTCACAGTGGTTTTGCTGAGGCCACACTCATCATTGCCTGTCAGAGGTTTCTCAGTTGCTGCCCCCTAGACTCAGCTCTACTCATCCTCCACTGCACACACCACTGAAAAGCTTCTTTATAGAATTCAAATCAACCAGGTTTTCTTCTCATTTTTTCCCTGAAAATTCATTTATCTTAAGGCTGCTGAGAATATACATGGCAAAACATACACCAGATCCAACACTCCCCACATCTACACTTTAGTGACATTGGTGAAGTCCTTTGACGGGAGCAATCATTGTCACTCTTCTCTTCTGAGCTGTTCCTTCCTCATTAACATAAGCTCACTGCACGCTAAGGTTCCCAGCCGATCTTCAGAGCGGACGTTGTCAGATTGATTCATATAGATATTACTTAAAGACTGTAATGTGTAAAGCCGACCTTTTATTTTTTTTTTTTTAACCAGTTAAGCTAAATCATTGCTTGGTTTTAAGAAGACTCCAAGAAACATTTTTGGTTTAAAGTTTAAAGATGATCTCAGGGCAATAATTTCAGGGATTCATTCACCCTCTAGTTGCCATAAGAACTGAAAATTCTGTTCTGCATCTTCCCCCTATTGATCAGAATTCTTCTGTGTAATTTTTGATCAAAATGTTCAGTAATGGTTCAGCTGGGCACCACTCAGTTCTAGTCTCAAGATAAAGGAGGCAGGTGTTTATTCTTCGGATTTTAAACCCTTTTTCCTTCCCAAGAACTTGCGGGACAGTTCCACGCTGTTGCCATTCTAACATCTCTTAAGATTCTTGAGCTGAACAACTGAAAATAGACTGTTTCTTCCCACCCTCTACAACTTTTCAGCGTTGCAAATAAGTAAGGCCTTGAAACTCACTTCCGAAAGTCAGCCAGTAACTTCAGCATGTCATCATTTGAGAGCTTATTGCTATCTTGCTTGTAGAGAGCAGAAAATCTGGCGCTTTTGTCAAGGTTTCCAGATGCATCCTTGAACAAGGTCCTGAAATATCAACAAACAGTTCTAAACTAGGTTTTCAAAAATACCAAAATAGACCTCTAATTTAACTCTAGTTCCTATGTGAAGACAAATCATTATTCCACTGGTTATCACCAACAGAAATCTCATTAGTTAAAACATGTAAGATATTTATGAGGATGAACACAACGAACTCAAGTTACATAGAAACTTGTTTCAGCAAATGGCTTGTGCTTGGGAAACACCACACACAGTCAAGTACGTAAGGAGTAGCTAGACCAGAACTGCAGGTTTCTTTCAGCTGTCATACAACTCCTGGCTGCAGACAGGCGGCTGAGGCTTGGGATTTCAGCTCGTCCACAAACACTCCTGTCTACCCTGCTAGTTCTAACATGGCTACTGTCTGGCCAGCATCCTTCTTCTATTGGATTCTAACAAATGATCTCTTCCAATTCGGGGTCTACTACTTTTTCAAATTTACGTATTTGACTCCTCTTTCTCTGTAGACAATTCAAACAGAATAGGCTGCTTTGTATATCTATTTCTAGGATATCTGTCTCTGGAGTCCTGGAGAAGCAACTGTAGGATAAGCACTGGACTGCAAGATCGGTTTGAACCATGAGGTTAGCAGTTCAAACTCACCAGCCGCTCCTTGGACACCCTACACAGGTTAGCAATGAGTCAGAATAGACTAGATAGCACTTAACACATAACATATCTATCTACACAGCTGAATCTGATGTGGTGCTGTAGGATAAGCATTTGACTGTTAACCAGAAGATCAGAAGTTCAAACCCACCAGCTGCTCCTCAGAAACTCTATACAGGGTCTCTATGATTCCAAAACGACTCGACAGCACCTAACACCACCACACAGAAGGTATAAAAGGTGCTCGCCCCCTTACCTGGCTGCCCAAGCGAATGGCATTCTGTACTGGCCTAGTCTTTGGCATGCTTGCTTGGCATTCTTCAGAACTTTCTGGGCAACCTTGAAGACATCAGAACAAAATGATGATGAACTTCTTCCCACTGACAGGAGAATTATAGTATAAAAGCTCCATCATCACACGTTCATTAAACAAGCTGTTAGCAAAGTACCAGATGCACAGAAACATGAAGTCACAGTCTTCTGTGCCTCATTCAGTAGTCTGTGTGCAGTGTATTTTCTGGCCATGATTTCTCAAATGAACCACAAACTGGCATCCTGAGAGACTCCTCCTGATAGAACAAGGACTGTCTTCACAGGCAACGGATATACTACTTCATAGGCTTTCATATGGTGTTCTGGTATGGGGTTGTAGAATAAGCACTGGACTGCTAACCACAGGTTGGTGGTTCAAACCTACCAGCTGCTCCTCGAAAACCCTATACAGGGTCACTATGAGTCAAATCAATTCGACAATGGCACTTAACAACAGACTTTCATAGTTTTTTTTACAATTAGGCCTGTCATTGACTCAAGGACTTATTAATAATTATTAACATTTGGTATTCATACCCAAAACGAGCTCTGGTAGCGTAGTGGTTACGAGTTGGACTGCTAACCTCAAGGTCGACAGTTCGAAACTATCAGCGGTTCCACGGGAGAAAGATGAGGAATTGTGCTCCCGTAAAGATTTACACCCTTGGAAGCCCTGCGTAGGGTCACTATGAGTCGAAGCCAACTCCACAGTACTTAACAACAACAACAACAACATTCATACCCAAAGGTATCAGGAGCTCTGGTAGCGTAGTGGTTACAAGTCGGACTTCTAACCTCAAGGTTCGAAACTACCAGTTTTAAAGAGGCACTAGATGTGGGTGACTCAGTGGCTGAATCCTCACTTACGTATAGGAGAACTGCTTCAGTTCCCCGCTGATTCACCTGAGACACAGCCACCATGCATCTGCCAGTAGTGACCTATGAGCTGTTATGACGTGGAAAGGTTTCAGTAAGAACTTGCAGACCAAGACAAGCTCGGAAGAAAGGCTAGAGATTTTCAGTTAATGAAAACGCCATGGATTATAATGGAACATTATGTGACCCGCAGCTGATGCCGGATATGGCAGCCTTTGTTCCATTCTGTGCCTGGGGTTGCCATGAGTCAGGGACCAGCTGAATGACAACTGGAATACCCAACCAGAGTAGTCATCCTTACCTTCGAGGAATCTGAACTTTTCATGTATGGCTCCGCACAGTGTGTAATGCTTCCCTGCAGTACTTTCTCAATTCGGGCCACAAGAAATATATCTGGGTGAGGACATGTGACTGAAAAGATTCCCTGGAGGACAAACATTTTCTTTAGTGAATAAAATTCATAGCCACATTAAACAAACCCCATGAGCACAAACGTTTCTTTAGTGAAACACTATCCTGTATTTTAGGTAAACAATGTGCACGGTATGTGGGTTTGCAAACCATGCTACTGACTCTTCTCACATTACAGGCTGTGCCCATTACATGTGTGCATACATCAGGCAGGTATTGTTGTATATGAACATATGAGAGCTACCAAGAAATCCCAGAGGCCAAATGGCTAACTGATGAAGAGTTCTTCATCTCAAATTATCTATTCAGGAGAAAGCTTCAAAGTAAGAAATAAAAAATCACTTCTCTCTCAGCTTGCATCTACTGTCTAATCACAAATACTGTCAATCAAATCAACAGTCTAAGTTACCCCAATAGTGCATTACACAGTCTCTCTTTTTTGGGCATTTTCAATATATTTACACATAGCAGGATTATTCTAGGCAGCTCTGGTAGCATAGTGGTTACGAGTTGGGCTGTGAACCTCAAGGTCAGCAGTTTGAAACTACCAGGTGTTCTGTGGAAGGAAGATGAGGCTTTCTGCTCCTGTAATGATTTATAGTCTCAGAAACCCTATACAGGGTCGCTATGAGTCAGAACTGACTCCACGGCACATAACCAACCAACCAACCAATTCTTGGCAGCACGCTTTGGGGTTCCTGCCCCTACCTGCTTGGGGTATTGCATGACGGCTTCCTGAAGGATGAACTGCAGCGCAGGTGAGCTCTGCCCATTGCCATTCATCAAGGCCGGGGATGTGGCAGCCAGCATCTGCCTCACCGAGAAATGGTTCAGGTCCACATGGAAATCAGCAGAAATCTTTTGGTTGTACTTTATGTCAAACAGGGATAAAGTAACAAAGAAAGGTTCCACCTAGACAAAACAAGAGAATCCAAACCATCAATACTGCTCAAACTGTCAAGGAAAAAGTGCTGAGGTCAAAGGAGAAATTAAACCTATTAATAATTCCTACTATAAATGACTGCTAGGGAGGCACATCTTTGGTTATATAGAGCAGTATCCTATAAAATTTACATAGAGACAGAAATATCTAGACCAAGACGGGCTGGTGAAAGGAGATGGGGATAAGACTCTTGTGGCTCAACAGTGAGTAATTGTTATCAGGACTGACTGTGATTATTGCACTGTAATAGTTAGACGTTTTGGAACAGAAGGTTCCAAAAAAAAAGGTAGACGTTTTGGAACAGAAAGAGGGGAGTGGTTGACCTTTCAGTCCAGGAGTGGAGGACCCTGTGACCATCAAGGGAGAAGAGTGGGAGCAGACTGTGGGACCCTGTTCAGAGAAGCAGTGAGGCCAGAGATGGAGGCAGAGACGATGATGTGGAGAGATGGAGCAGCTGGGGACTCTAGACTCATGGGAGGCAGAGGGGCTGTGTGTGGCGCCGGGGCACAGGCTTGCAGGGCATGCCCTTTGGGTGTTTGAATGATTGCATATTCCTGAGTGCTTTGGTGAATATTCAGGGAAACAAACAAACAAACAGAGGGAATGAGAGTAAATACTGTTAAATGATGATGCATAGAGGGAACTGTAATCACTGCAATGAAACAAAATACGACAGGATGAGTGTAAAACTGATGTTCTCCCATGTAAACTATCACTCAATTCACAATAAAAACTTAAAAAAACCCATATCTAGACAAAAATTATATTACTGTGTAAGTGCTTGGTTACTTCATGTATGTTCTACAGATAAGACGCAACGTTGCTTTCCTCAAGTACCTAGGATAAAACAGTCTATTGGAACACTGAGCATTAATCCACCATGAAGACCCTCCTCCAATATACCCTGTTCTTACTAGCTAGCAGGAACCCTCCACCACCCATCTCCCACTGTGTCGTACTGTGGGGGCTCGTGTGTTGCTGTGATTCTGGAAGCTTTGCCACCAGTATTTTAAATACCAGCAGGGTCACTCATGGTGGACAGCCTTCAGCAGAGCTTCCAGACTAAGCCAGACGAAGAAGAAGGAGTGGAAGATGACTTCTGAACGGTCAGCAACTGAAAGCCTTGGGACCAGCAGCAGGCCACTGTCAGACATCGTGTTGGAAGATGCAACGGTGCAGAGCTGGGCAGTGTTCCGTTCTGTTGTACACAGGGTTGCTATGAGTTGGAACTGACTAGACAGCACCTAACAACAACAACTGGAGTCCTGGTGTGTCACTGTAGTATAGGCACTGTATTGGTAATTGTAAAATCGGTGGTTCAAATCCACCAGCCACTCCTCAGTACCCGTATACAGAATCACTATGAGTTGGAACCCTTTCAAAGGCACTTTAACATCAACAGATATGAAATCACTGTACAGTGATTTAACCCCAGCACCTCTTTGAAATCAAAAGCTAGACTCTATGAGTGGACACACAGACAGCCAAGGCCAACTGACACATCTGAAAACCTCTGTAATACAAAACAAAACGATGGCATTTTATTTTGTAAAAGGAAAATTACATTTGTAGTGGGTCCTTCTTCATTTTCAGCAACACAACATTGCAAATTGAAAGACAAATCATTGCATCTGACAAGAATACGCTTTCCAAACTTCTCTTCAAATGGCTTCACGTCTGGCTCAGCTAAAGAATAGTCAAGCTTCTTTAAAAGAAAAGGAAAATATATACATATTAGGTTTTCATGTAAACCACGCATCATAAATGTATTCTAGGCAACTGTGTAAAACAGAGAAAGCTATATAGACTCTCTTAGTCCAACAAAGTTACTTCCAAAGTTAAAAAATGGAAAACAATTTAATTCTAGAACAATGGTCAGGTAAATGAAGGTCTAACTACTTGGAGGATGACCACACAGAGGTCAACACTCTGGTTATGAAGTTTATTGAAAACCAAAGAACAATAGTTAGAGTTACATGGGAAAAAGGAGGTCTATTTATAGACAACAAATGGATAGAAGAAAATGTGGCTGACCCCATTGTCTTCTCTCTGAGAAACCCATGCGTCTTTGGCAACCCTGAAGGGCTTCGCTGCAAAGCAGCTTTGGATTTGGGGGGTGGTGCATAAATGAGAACTCAGCCATGGAAAGGTTTGTATGTTGACATGGAGTCTGGGCTAGTCAGAAATTATCACAGACTACTGGGTGGTTCAAACTCACCAGCCACTCCTTAGCAACCCTATACAGGGTCGCTATGGGTCAGAACTGACTAACGGCACTTCACGACAATAACAATGTTCTTTGTAGACCCGAGGGGCTTGAGAATATCTCTGGATCCAGTTCTCTCAATATTCAAGCACCTAGTGACTATCAAATGCTAACAACAGTTGTGCTAAGGCAAAGGCCATTTTATCTTTCCCCAAATTTTCTATATTGCTCATCAATCCAAAGTAAACAAAAAAGCAAATATACGAATAACTCTTGTCAAAAGTGCCCCCACTTAGTTAAATATTTCAAAATGTTTCTTACCTGGGCATCTGGGTCCAAGTAAAAAAGTTTAACCCTGCTTTCGCTTTTCAGTTTGATTTCTGCTTCTCTGGTACTCTGACAACAAGAGAAATAAAAATGAACCTTAAACAAATCTTAGTGGAAGTATCCAAATAGCTCCCATTGTGAAGACCCAAGTTCACGTGACTCTGCCTCATCTTAAGAATCCACCGAGTATCAAGAACAGATGCATACTTATGTATACATCGCACACAACGTACGGGTTGTAGAAAAAATAATTAAAGAGATAACCCTTGTCCTTTCAAAGCTGACCATCAACTGGAAAGTCATAAGTAACACACAGAAAGCAACAGAAGTTAAGCATTCAACTGTCAAGAAAGATTTTTTTTAAGTGGTGAAATAAAGGATGTCCTGAGGTGAGAGGTTGTTGCTGTGTTTAGGTGCCATCAAGAAAGTGCCGACGCAGAGAGACGCCAAGTACAAGAGAAGGTACCACATCATCCTCACATGCACCGCCATGTATGAGCCCTGGGTTGTAGACACTCTGTTAGTCCATCTCACTGAAGTTCCCCCACTTTTTCCTGAGCCTCTCCTCTACCAAGCATGATGTTCTTCTCCATGGATTGGTCCCTCCTGACTCCATGTCCAAAGTTAAGTGAGAAGAAGTCTTGCCATCCTTGCGTCTAAGGTACAGTCTGGCTGTTCTTCCTCCCAGACAGAACTGTTTATATTTCTGGCACTCCATAAGGAGCTCTGGTAGCGTAGTGGTTACGAATCGGGCTGCGAACCTTAAGGTCAGCGGTTCGAAACTACCAGCCGCTCCGTGGGAGAAAGATGAGGCTTTCTACTCCCGTAAGGATTTACACCCTCAGAAACCCTGTACAGGGTCGCTATGGGTTGGAACCGACTCGACGGCACTTAACAACAACAACAACAACAACAATGGTTTCTTCAGTCCTCTTCACCAACACCATTATTCAAAAACATCGATTCTTCTTCAATCTTCCTATTTCATTGCTCAATTTTCACATGCATATGAGGAGACTGAAAACACCACCATGGTTTGGGTCAGGGGCAACTTAGTGCTCAAAGTGCAATCTTTGCTTTTTAAGATTTTAAGGAAGTCTTTTGCAGGAGAAGGAAAACATGACCATGCTCAATAAAATAGCATGGAGAAACACTGATGCTGGAACTGATCCCAGATAGCAAAAGGAACTTAGAGTCCTGTCTAGACAAGGGTATAAGCAAGAGAATCCACAAGGGTAACTTTGGAATGGGGGAAGAGAGGGGAGGGAAAACTACGGCAAATCGTAAAGGACAGTTTTGTGTAGTGTAAATGGTTTACTGCATGAATACTAACTGAAAGCTTGGCGGCTTGGAACTACCCAGAGACACTTTAGAAGAAAAAGCTGGTGGTCTGTTAGGTCACAGGTTAAGAACTCTGCAGAAGTTCTACTTGGCAAAAGATGGGGTCAACATGGATCTGAATGGACTCATCAGCAACTGGTTATGTTTGTTTGTTTGTTGTTGTTGTTAAGCGCCGTTGAGTGGGTTCCAACTCATAGCGACCTGTACAGGGTTTCCGAGGCTGTCAATCTTTACGGAAGCATCTTTCTCCCATGGAGTGGCTGGTAGTTTTGAACTGCTGACCTTAAGGTTTGCAGGCCGATTCGTAACCACTACACTATATTGTTTGGTTAGAGGGGCATTAATGATTCACTCAACAGAGAGTATTATGTTCCAGACACTTGGACATAATATGAGACAAAGTCCCTGCTTCCCATGGACATGTGCTGGAGAGAAAGCAAACACAGGCAATAAGAAGGACAGAGGAAAGCACATGATGCAGTGAGAGCTGAGAGCCAACTCCAAAGGAGATGGTGTTACAGAAGACACCCCAGAGGAAGGTCAAATTTCAAGGTCAAGGTCAAGAAAAATGGGCCTCATTCTGTGAGGAGGTTGCAAGTCACATCTGAACAATGAACCAGTCATTCATTAAAACGGGGTTGTTGAGCATGAGGAAGAAAGAGATGAGAAACCAGTCTGGGATTTATATGTTAAAAGTCTGGGGAATTCATTACTCATTTTTACAAAGCAACTCTGCAAAGGAATGAAGTAACCAGATCTGCATTTTGGTACCATCACTTGAACAACAGTGATGCAATGAGTTAAACATGGGAGACCAGGGCTATTGTGACAACCCAGGAGTGATCAGGAGGCCAGGAACTACTTAGTGTCCACGGACCTAGAGAAGAAGAGAAAGAGATAAATACAAGGTAAGGAGATCCGCCACCATCAAGTCCATGCGGACTCATGGTGGTCCCATGTGCTACACAGTAGAAGTCTCCATGTGGATTTCTTGGCTGTAATCTTTACTGAAGCAAATTGCTGCCCATTCTTTCACAGTGCTGTTGAGAAGACTGGAACTGCCAGCCTTTAGGTGAGTTATTGTTGTTGGGTTCCATGAAGTAGTTCCCAGAGACCTAAAGGGCTGGCCAGACCAACAAACACCCTATGCTATTTGTAGTTTGGTTAACCTGCTGAATGGTGCACCCATGAACTGAGATCAGTAATTCAAGAAGAAGAGAGCAGGTTTGTGGATAAGATGAGGAACAAAGTAGAACTGATCATCTGTGGAACCTTCCATGCTGAAACATTCGCTAGACAGTTAGATGGAACTTGAGCCCAAGGCAGAGATGACGGCTGGAGTTACAAAATTACAAGGCATCGGCATAGTGGCTACAAGTCAGGCTGCCAACCTCAGGGTCAGCAGTTCAAAACTACCAGCTATTCCACGGGAAAAAGATGAGGCATTCTGCTCCCATAGATTTATAGCCTCGGAAACCCTGTGCAGGGTCACTATGAATTGGAACCAACTCCACAGTACTTAACAACAACAGTGCAGAGGTGGAAATTTTAAGTCTTAGGAGTGTAAGAGCATCCATGGAGGAATAAGTCAAAAGTGAGTCTGAGGACAGAAACCCAGGAACCCCTACACTGAAGGAATACACAAGAACTCATAGAGGGAAAGACACGGTAGCAGGCAGGTGGGCTGGAGATCTGGGATTTGGAATAGGACAAATGAGTAGAAAAGGAAAAGCTTCAAAGACATTCACCATATAGAAACCACCTCCGGCCTCATCATGCCTGGTGCCTCCAAATCCGTATCCTGCTCTTCCTGACAGTCAGCACTGCTGTTGCTCTCCATCCCCACCATTACATCTACAGTCAGAATACAACTTTCTCTCTCATCAGCCGCTTTCCCAGAAGATCATGAGTCACAACTCAGAACTCAATGGGGCAGAGAAAGTGGAGAAGATGCTGTCTTCCCTGATAGTGACTGATGAGGCTTATTATTAGATTTCTAATCATGACTAATGTGAAATTAAACATCTCTGTAATGTTCTCAGCCACTCTAATAGGTTTGTATCAATGAACCAAATTCTCCAATAACTCTATCTAACCAGCTCTGGCAAGAGAATGAAAGGTTAGAAACAAGCTTCCAGTTTTGGCTTAGTCATAACTGGCTGAGTTCATTTGTGGTTATGTGCCATGGAGTCGGTTCTGACTCATAGTGACCCTGTACAGGGTTTCCGAGGCTGTAAATCTTTACAGGAGCAGAAAGCCTCATCTTTCTCCCGCGGAACAGCGGGTAGTTTCAAACTGCTGACTGTGAGGTTTGCAGCCCAATCCGTAACCACTACGCTACCAGAGCTCACGTGGCCAAGCCATTCATTCTTCCTGATCGCCATCTCCGTTTCAGAATAAAAATGTTGAAAAGATGGTGGCTTAAGTCTTTTGCCACTTGATAATATCTTGATACTATCTATGGGATTTTCAAATTTAGAGAGATGAAGGGACATTCCTACAAATCTTCTGTTCATGTTTCCATGGTAAAACATGAGGCAGTGGCAGGCTTTTAAGGATCAAGTTGTACCCGAGTAAGCATGATGTTGAAATCCTCCTACCTGTACCTGAGAACATGACCTTTCTTTGCAGAAGTTGTCAGCTAAGGGAGACATGTCACAGTAGGGTGGGTCCTTAACCCAAGCCCTTCTATTCTGAATAGGGTCTTATAAAAGAGGACAGCGATGGAAAGGCACGAACAGGGAGAAGACAGTATGTAAGGATTCATCTGTTGTGCATGGGGTCGCTATGAGTCAGCTCCGACTCAATGGCACCTGGCAACAACAACAACAAGGATTCATCTACAAACCAGTGAATGCCAAGAACACAGGGAGCCTCCAGAAGCTGAAAGACTCTACATAGCCCTGCTTACACCCTGAGTTCAGATTCCTTGCCTCCAGAATGGCGAGAAAATACATTTCTGTTCCTCAAGGGCATCTACTTTGTGGTATTTTTGTAACGGCATCATTAAGAAACCAAGACATACACTCTTTCCATATGGGAGATGGGGCTGCTTGTTGATTCTATCTTGCCAATTACCTTCCCTAGTTTTTCACATTACAAGAGCTACACCATTTGCTAGTAGAATCTTCTAAGCAGAACCAAGATAACTTGCTTCACAATGTATACTGCCCATGACATTTCCTATTGGTACAAGGTACTGCCAGACACCAAAACAGTAGCACATTCTACTTCTGACCTGTCTGCTGGAGTCCCTCCACAAAGGCAAATACTATGATCTCAGACAGTAGAATAGAGCAAGGGGTTCTTAATGTAGACGCCATTCCTGATGGCTTTCAGAAAGATGCTTGTTGTCTCAAGTTGACTGTGCTAAAATACACAAAAAACAAAAACCTCTTTCCATTGAGTTGGTTCCAACTCACGTGACCCTACAAGGCAGATCAGAGCAGCTCCACATAAAGGGATCCTTTATGGAAACAGACTGCTTCTTCTTTTCTCCCATCAAGCACCTGGTGGGGTCAAAGCACCAGTGCTTTGGTTAGAGGCTGAGTGCTTCACCACTGTGCCACCAGAGTTCCTTTGACTATGCTAGGGTTGTGGTTGTTGTTGTTAAGTGCCGTCAAGTTAGTTTTGACTCACAGTGACCCTATACAAGGTTTCCGAGGAGCGACTGATGGGTTTGAATTGCTGACCTTATGGTTCAGTGTTGATCCTATAGTGCCACCCCA